GTCTATCACAGAATAAAAAGTCTCAGCAATCAACCATAACCATACAATGTTGTGAGCCCAAAGTTTGAGATGTGAGGAAGATGGTTGTGACTTTGAATAAGCCAGGGTCGTTCGTGTTGCAAACAGTGATATTTTTTCGTAACTCAATTATTGTTTCAGCAATATGTATTTCATCTTCATTCAGATCAAGTATTTGCTGAAATTACTTCGAAAATTATCACGTGTTTATTCGAAAATGTCACGTGAAATTATAATCACTGTAATCACAATAATCTCGTTTCACCCACTAAAATTTTAGGTGTTCCAGCAGCAGTGTATGATGAACAAACGGATATTTTATTCAAATTGTTACGGCTGATGAATCAGATAAGTAAGTCACATGGTAAAATCCTCATGATCGACACTAAATTTAGCTCAGTAAACAAAAGTTAATTAGTAGCGACGCATTTAGAGAGAGTGAGATACATATGGTGGGAAATGGAAAAAACCGTGCAATGCATTTATGTGCATTTGTCTCTAACTCCCGAGCTTGGGAATAAAGTAAGGCGTGCATTTATAGGTGCAATTATAGAGGGTTGACTGTATTTATGGATTGACCTGGCAGGTAAATTCCTGATCATCTAAAATCGCTGTAGTAGTGTTAAAAGAAGAAAATGCCGAAAATATTAATGATATTCTACAACCAACCCTAATCGGATTAGTACGACGCCGATACAGGCTTGTCAGCTTTCAAATATGTATGTTTGCACCATTGGTTCTTGCATAATGTGCAATTTTGCGGTTTTTTTTCCCGTCCCCTCGCTGTACTTTTGGTATTCCCCGTACGTCTGATAGTCAATCAAATAAAAATAAAATTAAATTAAATTATACATTACTCAAGTGAGAAATATATGTAAAATTTTATTTGTAAAGCAAGCTATTCAATTAACAAAGATGCTTATCATATAAAAATTTTATTACGGTAATCGTTTACTGTAAATATTGTTATTTTTAAAAGCAACGCGAATCTGGATAACAAATAATGTCTTACCAAGTCTTAATAAGAATACTCTTATTATACTGTATCACCAACTCGTTGAATATCAAATCTAATGCGTAAAACTCTGCAAAGTGTTTCTGAACAGCGTAGCAATTGCATTATTATTAATTTGTGCGAGTTTAGAGAAAATTGCGCGTGCAAAGTTGTTAACAGAAAGTTTCGAGAAACAACTATAAATTTGAACAAAACAGTCTCATTAGTTAGCCAAGAGTAGACCGTCTCCTTGTCTGGATTTGAAGAATGTGGTTTATTTTACAAATAATAATAATATGCAAAGCAAGTATATCACTTGCAATTTATAAAAAACTATTGTCCTAACTACATTTTAACCCCATTCTACATGCAATCCAATTATTAATTTTTACTTTCATCAACAACTTTTTCTAAATCTTCTCGCCATTTTTTACCTTTATAATAAGTAATTAGCAACGCACCAGCTCCAATAATATTGAGAAGCGCTAGCGTTGTAAACGTCCATCCATTGCCAAGCGCGTTTTCCATTGAAGCAGCCAGGAGAGACATTAAAGCAGAAGCTATATATCGCATGCAAGCGTACACTGACATTACTGACGCTGACTGTCCAGGAAATGCATCGATTAAGTATGTTGATGTGCATGTGTAGCATAAAAGAATGCCTAAACCTCCTAAAAAAAGAAATGGAGTTATTTAATACATAACATTGAAAACATGCTTTGAGTTTAGAATAATCTTGTAATATTAATGAAATTGTTTACTAATCCACATACATACCAAAAAACATAGCAATCAAAGGCCATACAATAAACACTTCGTTTTCTACACACCAGCCATAGGCAGTAAACGAAATCGGTAAGATAATGGCACCCAACCATGCACTTTTTAATCTCATCTCCGCATACTGCTCTCCTTTATTCTTCTTTTTTCCTTTTGCAAGTATTATATCTGCATATTTTCCTCCCAATACACTTCCTACCATATACCCTACTCCGCCAGACAAAAGCACAAGCCCAGTTGCAGAGGGTGAGAGGGAATAATGGCTATTTTGAAATGTCGCTGATACGAGTGTATTCTGTGTATACAGCATTGCAAAAACTGTGCAATTATATGCTACAATAAACAGCACATTTGGGTAACGGAGGAGTAGAAGAGGAGATAAAAGAAGAAGAAAAAAAGATATAAACTTGTTAAAACCATTCTTGGTTTGAGGCAGCGATGAAGGAGTTGAGGAAGGAGAAGTATCAATTGGTAACATTGAATTCGAGGGAGAAAAGGCAGTAGTAGGGGAAGTTGGATTTGAAGAAACAAGGGTGGTAGGAGATGTTGGGGGCGAAGAGGTAATGGTAGTAGTAGGAGAAATTGGAGATAAAGAAACCATAGAATCTGTAGATACTGTAGATATAACAAGAGAAACATCAACACTAATTTGGCTTTTTGTTTTCTTATTACAGTCGTTCAGTTTTTCTATTTCATTGATGGGCTCAATAGTACAAGCCACTGGTTGTTTTCTATTATTATCCTCCGCTTTACTATTACTATTTTTTTTGCATTCTCGCTGTTTGTTCAATTTTTCCAGTTTGCAGGTGTCTCTGTATGTTTCTGGTGAAAAACACATAAGAACAAATAAAGCGGTTCCAAATATCGCAAGGAACCAGAAAATCCACCTGAGAAAAAGCAAACTTGTATCAACATCATCTATACGCGTAGCTATTAATATAATTACTGCTTACCTCCATCCAAAAAATTTATCAATATATCCACTATAATGTTGTTATAATGAAGCAATTAGTTAATAATTAGTATCGGTTTGTTAACGATAATTAATTGTAATAATTACCCAAGAAGGGGTCCCATAAGTGGACCTGTAAAAAAAAAGTCACAGTTAAACAGGTTTTGAAACATATTTGTATCGTTAGATAACTTACAAATAAGCGTACGTGCTTACCAAGTAGCACTCCCAAGTATAAAAATCCGTATGCGGTTCCACGCTCTAATCAAACATCCCTCATATTAACAAATTGATTTTGTTTTACACTGCTGAGATGTTGGAATTATTTAGAAGTTCTACCTTCAACTTTGTACATGTCACTTAGCGTTCCGGCTCCAACACTCTGCACTGCCGATGATCCACACGCCTGCAATGTTCTCATAATAATAAGTAGCCAGATGTTTGGCGACACAGCGCATAATATCGATGCAAAAACAAACACTGCTAATGACAGAAGGTAAACATTGCGTCTTGTTCCGCGCTTGTCCGAATATGCAGCCCAACCGAGCGGCTATTAACATGGGTTACAAAAAAAAACCAGTTGCAATACTGTCACGTGTTGTCACAATAATAAACGGTAGTCAGTTGTTTGTTTTTACTTACGCAGATTCCCATAGCCAGAACAAATACTGCCACTGTAAGGAGCGTCGTGTAAGTGAAAAGAAAATTGTGATTTCGATTGCATTTTATGTAGAATTTTTCTTTACCTATTGAATTTACTGTCATGTCTGTTGTATGAAATGATTTTTTTATTACTTGTAACACAGGGAAAAATATCCTAGACGAATTAAATATATTATTGGTAGTTGGAAATCTTACGTGTCATATTACATGTCAGGGCTTAATAATCTTTGCTTAACTTACGTGCTTGTTAACGGAGCTATCATTCCAGTAACTGATACTATTGAAAGAACAAAGTACTTTTTCTTTTTTGGCCATTCGTATGGATCATCGTAAGTGTTATTACTATCTTCAGGAAGTTCAATAGTTTGGTCCTCATCGATTCGTGATTCAACGTCTTCAGCCATAGCCATTATTATGTTAGAGTTTTGTGAAACTAAGTTGAGCAAATATGACTTGTGCGGTTGTTTATATATATCTCGATCGGATAAATTATCTTGCCATGTTAGGGCTTAAACGGGTTAGGACTCAAATATTAACTTACCCAACTCTAAACTGAGTAACCGACTATGTGTCTCGATATGCTTTTTGTACCATTGTCACTTATCAACATGCTCATAATTGAATGCTGCCACTTTGAGGAAACTGCGGTGCGGGGTTCTACACTATAGGTTATTAGTTCGTTAGTATTATTCCCCAAACAATGAAGTTGTTGCCTGTTATGCTCAAGTCTAACGTGTGTGTACAATAAAATTGTTACACAAAGTAGTCAATGTTAGTCATATTCACTCAGCACGCAGTAAATTTGTGCGCGCGAAACGTAATAGATAAATTATCGATTATCTAACGTTTAAATCATGATTTTGACATCCGAAGATCATCAACATGCCCTGAACCTTAAGTAAGGTGAACCAATAATTTTTAATCTTATGGAATGACAACCCCCTGACAAATTTCACACTAACTTCACTGCACAAAAAACTTTTTTTTTTTAATTGAAAGCCCGATTTTAAGGGCAAGGAGCACATATCTGACTCGTTTCGCACTTAGAATTGTTATAAGTGATGATCAACATACTTGATTGTATCACTTCATGGTGTGCAATACTAATCTCGTATAATAATAAACACCCGAAACAACCAAAAATTATTTATTCGCTCGGTATAAACAATATTTTGTTATAACGAATAATAGTTATCAGGGATATAGTATATCAGTATTAGATAATAAAACACATACTCGATTCGCAAACATCATATTGCACGTTCAATTTATTTAACCATGTTCATGAATGCCACGCATCACGCCTGTAATTTATCAGTCAATGTTTCTTCTCCAACAAACTCACGACTTTCTACTGATTGCATTTTTCTGTTCAGATTACCTTGATGCCTGATCGCTATTTAGGAAATCACATAATGATCATAGAGAGCAATGCAACGAAAGGTTACCTAAGAAAACGTTATACTTAAGAGAAGAGCGCGATCACGTTCGTGTTAAGATCCACAAGTTGATAGACGGCGCTTAATAGAGAGATCACTAACAGTGTTAAGTGGTTAATGGAGGTCAACACAAGCTTGGTTGTACATCAGGAATACTGGACGTTTACTACATGAGTTGACTTTAAGACCATTAAAGCAGAGTTTTCCTGACCTAATAGCCATTAGATTACAAAATGCGTAGACACAAAACTGATTGCTCCACCTGAATTTTCTTGAACAACACAATGTGGGGTTCAAACGATCGTTGGTTTATGAAAGAATCAATCAATTGGAAACATTAGATCGACGACGTTTTTTTATTGCTTTTATTATTGTATGAGATTAGTATTGCACACTATGAAGTAATTATGATCGTTCACGTAACAACAATTCTAAAGTAGGTCAATTCTGAAAACGAGTCCGTAGTTCCGAAAGGAACAAAACGTTGAGCTAATTATGATCTAAATATGAGATACATGAGCTTGACTGGATAAGAACGATTTATTATAAGCGTTCATTTTTTATAAGAAGAAAGGTAAAATTGACAAATAGAGCAAAAATATTTAACCGGCGGCGTGAGATGATGCCGAAACGTAATAGTTATGCCATAATTAATAATAAACAGTTCAGGTATCTTAGAGAACGAGCGCCACACCATATTAATTTATACTATTACTTTAACTGGACAATCAAACGCCTAAATTGTACTAACTTTTATTATGTAGGTTTATAGTGTTATATTGTGACTATTGTTTGTTTGTTTTTCACTTTTGATAATCGCATCTTATATAAATAGTTTATCCGTTACCCCTGTATGTTAAACTATTATGATAACCTGCTCTATTATTGTGGAAATAATAAATCGAAAGTGTTACAATTTTATTTAAGTGTATTGTAAATCTACTTCGTTTGTTGTAAGCTCTGCCTGTATGTTGTTTAACACTAACAACGATTGTAGTGTTAGGTATAGAAAGATAAATTATTTCTTGCGTCTACTCACACAAGTAGATAAAGTTAAATATTAATAACAACCTTTATTGATAGTAATAGAATATCTCATATAATTGTAGATTCAAAGTACTGCGTTAAATAGTAATAGTTTCAAATTCAAAAATAAATTAGCGTAGTGCGTCATACGACTTAAATCATTATACATACAATGTAAAATGAAAAAACCCACGAGCTATGTGGTATATCAATTTCGCAAGATTGCTTCTTAGATTAAAAAAGTTGAAATTATCTTACATAAGTCAAGATAGATCAATTTCCATCATGCTTGACGAGAAATCGACATGAGGATTGTCTTGTGGTGTAGAAAAATCTCCAGTGGGCAGTAAATTACTGGAATACTTTTTTTCTTTCTCAACAAGTGACATCGGCCTTATGTTCGTGTTGTAATAAATAGCATTCCATTTATTCTCAACAGATTTATCCTCATCGATAAGTCTCAAAGTATCATCAATTTGCCAACATACTTCACACGCAAACGGACGCTTGTTGAGATCAGCATTACAACATTTTTCAGCAAGTTTCTTGTAGGGCTCTGGTGTTGAATTAGGCATTGTTGGTCGAAGTCCTTCACAAATGCGTGTTGCTAAATGGTTGTCAAATGACAAGTCTCTAAAGGGTGGCTCACCACTGGCGATCTGATAAACCAGAATGCCAAAGGCATAGATATCTGATTCCTGAGTGAATCGACGAGTGGAAAAGACTTCTGGTGCAATGTAAGGTAACAGTCCTTGAATACTTGAATTTGATTTGGATAAATTCATTGGTTGTGAAAGTCTAAGATCGCATATGTATGGCAAAGGGTTAGCATTTTTCTGGTGATCAAATACTATGTTGCCGCCATGAAGATCGCAGTGAATTAATCCTCGTTCATGGACAATGCGCAGGCCTTTTGCAATATCACGCAAATACTCTAACTTGGCTTTCCACGTTATTTTGTTGATGTATTGTTCCAAATGAACAAAGAGATTACCATCTTTGGCATGTTGCATTATAATTATATATTCTTTTGTTTCTGGTCGCTGTGTGAGCCCATAAATCTTAAGAAGTGGATCATTATATGTATTACATCTAGCATGGTTTCTGAACTGTAAAAGAAAAAAGTTAAAGTTTAGTAATTAACGCAAATAAATATAAAATACAAGTATTACTCACCTCAGAAATAAACAAACCCAGCATCTTGCTGAAATTTTTGTAAGTTTTCAGAACAAGATAACCAATTTTATCAAGCGGACTCGCCTTACATTTAACAGTATAAGCCGTCCCATAACCACCAGACCCAATCTTCATTGTTTCATAAAACTGATCAAATTGTATAAATCGTAGCCCACTACCACTACCACCTAAACTCACAGTCTGCACAAGTCTATCCAAAACTGAATACATGTCATAATAAAATATCAGGTAATAATCTTTAGTTACTGGCTCCTGGGTAATACCAATAATCCAAATATTGTGTGGAGTTAATATTTGTGGGTACTCTTCTGTCAACTATGTTGTGCATACATTAATGTTAATAATATAAACCACATTTGCATTGCTTGAACAAAAAAATTACCTTAGAAAAGTCAAATAAGTGACTGTTGAATCCATCAACTATTTTTTTAAGAGTCACCCTTGTTGTCTTGCTTTCATTTTTTATTTGGCCAACCCAGTCTGCCATATGTGTGCAATTATAATCCAATAATGGCATCTCTTGTATGTTTACTAGTTGACAGAATTCTATCCATTGAATATAGCCATCAGCAATGACAAGTATGTCTTTCCATGACTTCATGATAAATGAGTCCAGTAATTTGTTTCCAGTAGACCAATCAGGAGGATTTGGGGCTTTACATTCAACACAAAATGCACTTATACAAGGGTTTAAATGTTTTGTACATGCAAGACATGATCCATCTTTGTTTGTTGTTTTAATTAGAGCATATTTTTGCTGTTGTGGATGGTATGTAAAACCAATAGTAATGCAAACATTAATATCAAGTATATCAGGGTAATTTTTAGATAGCTAGAGAATATTACATATTTAATATTAGTTTTTGAAGAAAGTATTTTAACTCAAGTAAGTATAATAGCCACTTACTTGGTAATAGAATAAATTCTCTGTTTTTTCTGATATTTCAACTGGGATCAAGTCTACAGAATGATATCCACGAACTGGTATGCTAGATACCCATGTATTTGCATACCATTGGTTATTGCTTTCGTTGGTTGGTGAAATCACATTGTTTCCATCTTTGGCATCATCAGTATTTATTTTGCTGCTTGATGAATCAAACAAAAGCCATTCAGAGGGAATCCATTCCAAGTAAGCTTCATTTGCTTTTTCTGTCTTTTTTTGCGAATTCCTAATGACTCTATCCAGTTTCTTGTTGTTGCTAGTCCACAAGGCTGACAATTCTTTGCGACCACAAATGCACCATATTGGACTGCATCTAAGTATTTTGCATGCAGAACAGAATCCATAGAGAGAATAACAATAAGAAAACTCCTTTTCGGCTACCAGGTAATAGTTTTCCTCATATTTGGTAAATCCTTTAATCATGTCATTTCGCTTCCATATCCATGTCGAATATCTTCTAAAATGATTGATATTGGGTGGATTTTTATATTTGTGTAATGGGAGAGAGTATACTCTAGCAAATTCTTCTATAAATTCTTGCGTGCATTTGTCTTCGGTTCCAATAATCAATAACATTATTGACGTTTCATCCTTATACTGTTGTTTGTATGTGGCATAACGATAATATATGGATTGATTAGTGAAACATTGCATTGTCCCTATATCAGTGAATTTTGAACCAGGAAGCCATTTGAGATGCCACCATTCGGCCAATAATACTCCATTATCATTAGTTTTAGAGAATTCGATCAATTTGTCAATAGCAGAACAGCCTGAAATAGATGTCATTCTTTCGGTTGAA